AAAAAAAAAAAAAAAATTGTGAAGCACGCCGATTAAGGCAAATCCTAGCGAGGTACCCATCCCGGTCTTTCCGTTCTCCCGTCTTTGCAGAGTACATGCAAATAGGCTCACAACTATGTTCCTCACAACCATGTTCCTCATATATATGCACCTCCGTGTGGTCATTCACTGGCGAGCGTCGCATCGCATCGCATGGCGTCCACGCGACATGACCCAGTGGGGCGTATTTGCATACTACCATTTGATGCTCCTCCTTAAAAGGATATAAGATGAAAAAAGGATTATGTACCCCAATTGGGGGGTAGACCCGCGAATTGATGCGCAAATATCATGTATTGCAGCTGCCACTCATGGTACTCTTTTGTTGTAGCCGCTCCCTGTACTGAGTTTGTTCATTTGTTAAAAAAGGGGGTGCATGGCTGCCCCTCGGTTGGGAGTTCAGCACGAGGGGGAATATAACAAAGCGGACGCAGTGGAGTACCTCAGCAAAAGGGTTACACTCCACAGAGGGTCAGTCACCCAATGGGTTGCCTGTGCAAAGCTACACTTGCGCACACACACGCACCTCCACCGATGCAGTGGCTATGCAGGAAACCAAGGAGGGAGACTTCACCAACGGCGAGCCACTCCCGTGCCATTAGATCAAAATTGAGAAAAAATATCGTTCAGGTCATAATTGGCCAGTTTGGTTAAAAGCGTCTTTCTTTTACCTACTTTGTATACATTTCTCCTTGGCCATGCGTTTATTTATTTATTTTTTTTTTTTTCCTCATCTGAGCTACTTTTCCATTCTGTTGCGCTTCCTTTAACAGGGGAACCATCACGGGGAGTGAGCCCTCCGAAAGTAACACAAAATAGTCACTTCAAATGACCGTTTAAATGTGAAAATAAGAAAATGCCGTTTTTTTACCTCTTCCCCATACTTGTGTAAATTTTGTGCAACATGTACTCCTTGTGGTTCTTTGACGCGGTTGCATATTGGAAAGAGGGGGGGGGGGGGAAGTTATGACAATTAGCTCGTTTTCCCTTTAAGTTGTTCCACTTGAATTGCTCCCGTTTGCACATATGTTTTAATGCTCCCCACATGTTTGGCCGCGTCCCCCAACAGATGACAGCCTACGTGCCACCTTAACACATTTTGCGTGCACTCACATAAAGTTCAGAGCCAAAAAAGAAAAAAAAATGCCTCATATAGAATTGCTTTAGGAAGGGGAAACACATGTCCATTTACACTATGTTAAAAACCCTGCTCGTTAATTTTTTGCAGCCTTGCCCCCTAAACATTCAAATAACCACGCAAACCCAATAGTCACTTGGGCTGCTCACCCGGCATTAGTTCACTTTTTTTTTTTTTTTTTACGCTCTTTTTCTCAATCGAAAGATCTTGTGGTACACGACGTGTGATAATAATTACGTGCCGCAGGACGCTCTCAACAGGTGAGAAAAAAAAAAAAAAAAAAAAAAAAAAAAAAAAAAAAAAAAAAAGCACGAAGGATCACTTCACAAAAATAATGCGCGAATGTGCATGCTTGCTTTATAGCGCTTTTGCCATGTGCCCACGTATGTATATATATGTACATATATGTGCTTGGCTTACAATATTTTTGCCTAAATGCGTTTTTTTTCGCCGCTATGCATTTGCGGTCTTCTACATCCTTTGCCCCACCCACATATAGGTGTTTTTGCCCATTTTGTACATTATTTATTTAACCCTTCCACTGGCTTGTTAATTTTTTTTTTTTTTTTTTTTTTTTTTTTT